GGCCGGGGGGCCGGGAGTCCGGAGCCAGGGACGCCCCCGGGCGGGAGGGACGAGGCCGGCGGCCCGGGAGGCGCAGAGTCCGCGGCCGGGCCGCCTCTCGCCCTCTCCGCTGGCCTGGAGCAACCTTGGGATTTTCTGCCAAGAGGGAGGCCACGGCTGATTCACCTCCGGGGCTTTTGGGGGGACATTCCTGCTGTGGGAAAGCCGCCTCTTCGAACTGTCCGTGGGCGGGGGGCGCTTCCCAGTGGGGGCCCGGGCTTCTGCTCCTTAGGCCAATGGGGGAGGCGTCCGCCGTTCAGGCCAGGCTCTCAGCCGCCTGGACTCGCAAGCCGAGCCGTGCAGCCTGCGCGGAGCGAGGTCGAGCCCTGCACGCCCACCCCGCGCCCGGCTCCCTGGAGCTCTCGAGTCTGATTCCTTCCCTGCGCTCGGGAAGGTGTGTTGCGGCCCCCGGCCTCCCGCGCGCTGTGTGCGTGGGTCGACATGCACGTGCCGCGAGCGCGTCTGGGGGGTGGGCTCCGGAGCTGCTCGGCCCGACGGCGTGCGCCTGCTCTGCGGGCACCGCGAGCCCTCCAGCCTGTGCGCGGAGGGTGTGTCCCGCGCGAGTGCACAGGTGAACAAGTCTGCTTGCGCGCGTGTGCGAGTCGGAGCGCAGGTGTACTTACGGTTCGCGTGGTGTTAGCGAGGGTGCGGACGTGTGAGCGTGTTACGTGGCCGTGCGCCGCTCGTCGGGTGTGCGCCCCTGCCACTCTCCAGCCCGGCGCTTGGACCCGCACAGGTCTCGGTCCGCCCTTGTGGCCGCCACGCAGGGGTCTGCGCCGGCCTCTCGCCGCGGCGGCGGCCCGGTTCCGGCTTCTCTCCGCCCGATCCGCCGCGACGCGAAGCTACACCTCGCCAGCAGCCCGGGCTCCGGCGGGGAAAGCCCCTTTCCCGCCCCCGGGAGGGGGGAATTCCCGTGACGTTTCCGCGCGTCACGCCCCGTGCTGTTTCTCATTGGCTGAAAGTCCAACTCTGGACTCGCGCAGCCAACCACGAGGGGCCCAGGCGCGCCTCTCCGAGGGCGCGGTCCGCCGTCGGGCCGCGCGGGGCCTTGCACTCCGCGCGTGCTGACGGCGGGACCAGTCCCGGGCTGGACAGCGGCGAGGGCCGCTCCCCGCCCAACGCTCGGGTCCCTTCCATTGCCCAGACTGGCGCGGGCCGGCGGGGCATCCCCGCGGCTTCTCGCCCTTGGCCTCGCCTGACGCCTGGCTGCTTCTGGAGAACCCCGGGGGGCGGGGGGCGGAGCCGGCCCGCCCCAGCCGGGCCCGGCTGCTCGGAAGGGTTGCGGGAAGAGGAAGGAAGTAGCTCTTGCGGTCAGTCCCTGGGCGCCATCTGGCGGCCGTACGCGACCGGGACCCCGAGGCCCTCCCTGCTCGCGCGCGTCTCTGCTTCGGGAGGAGACCACGGGCCCCAAACTCTACGTGGCAGGTCTATAACGAGGAAGGCTGTTAGGCTGACCTGAGTTCGGGATTCTGCCTTGCGCCGGGAAGGGAGGTGTTTCCGGGCCTCGTTCATCTTCCGCAGAGGTTAAGGATGTTAGACTTGAAAAGGCATCTACAGTCTAAATGTAAGCTTCCTCCGAGCAGGGAATGACCCTTATCTTCCCAGCTTCCATTTTTTTTTTTTTTTTTTTTTTTTTAACAGAGTCAGGCCAGGGTTATAGGCCAGCGGCACAAGTGCCTGCCTGGCAAGCGCATGGTCTTGAGTCCTATTCCCGGTACAAAAAGAAGACAGGGTCTCACTGTGCCGTTCAGGCTGGCCTGAAGTCACTGTGTAGCCCAGGCTGGCCTGGAGCTCGTAGTGAGCCTGCCTCAGCCTCCCGAGTGCTGGGATTACAGGCGTGGACCACCACACCAGGTGCCCCTTTCGTATGGATGCAATTACGGGCTGCACTGGCACTAAAATGGACTGTTACGGCTCTTGATTTGGGTTCTGCCTAGCCTTCTCTTCCTGTTAATCTTGGCAGAAAATATACAGTTAGGGTACTTTATTTATTTATTTATGGTCTTTTTTGACACAGGGTCTCCCCACGCAGTTCGGGTTGGCCTTGAACTCACTGTGTAGCCCAGACTGGCCTCCAACTCGAAGCGATCCTCCTGCTCAGCCTCCCACATGCTGGGATTACAGGCGTGTGCCAGCAACCTGGTTTGTTAGGGTACTTTAGTATAAATTCTGAGAGATAACCACAGACTGAGTACCCTTTATCCAAAATGCTTGAGACTAAGCACACCTGTAATCCCAGCACTTGGGAGGCTGAGACATGAAGATCAATGCATGTGTAAGGCCAGCCTAAACCATATAGCAAGACCCTGTTTCAGAACAAATAGCAAAAGAGTAGAAGTGCTTCAGATTTTGGAATTGTTTGGATTTTGGAGTATTTGCATAGACTATATAGGTGGAAACTTTCTAATCTGAAAATCTGAAATGCTCCAAAATCTGAAACTGCATCAATTTTTGTGTTTTTGAGAAACGCTGTCTCTATGTAGTCCTGGCCTCAAACTCACGGTGGTCCTTCTGCCTCAGCATTCCAAGTGCTGAAGTTACAGGCGTGCACAACCACGCCCGGCAGAAACTGCATCAATTTTGAATTACAGATGCTCACCCTATATGACCTTTATGTACTAATGAAAAGCTTAAGGCTCCAAAAGGCACAGTGACACCACCAGACACAGCTGGAAAGGGACAGAGTTAAGATTCTAACCCTGTCTCTTGCCTGCAAGAGAAATCTCTCCCTCCATTTGTATAAAGCAAAACAGGCCTTTCTGCTTTATGTGGATTTTCAAGTACTTTTTTTTGCGGGGGGTTCTTTTTGAGATAAGGTCTTGCTATGCAGTTCAGGCTGGCCTTGAGCTCACTTTGTATCAGGGCCTTGTGAATGGTAGACAAGCACTCTACCACTGAGCCACATCCCCAGCCCCAATGGCTCAAATCCAGCCAGGCATGGTGACACACACCTGTAATCCCAGCACTCTGGTAGTGTCTTGGTTACTTTTCTCTCATTGCTGAGACAAAATACCCAACACCCAGAATTAAAGAGGAAAAGGTTTATTTAGCCTCATGTGGTCAGGTGGTTTTTCAGAGGTGGCTGAATCTGGGGGGAATCAAGCATGCAATGCCAGGACAGTGTGATACTAGGATTAAGGGTGTGAGTGCTACCCCTAAGGGCAAGTAGTGTGGATAAAATATAAGAGAACGAGGGCTGGTGTAGTCATTGCTGGTCACTTGTAGCTCACTTGCTTGCTGCCTTCTGCCTGCCCTGCTTTGCCTTGGACTGTTTCTCCTCTGTGATGCCCTCTGCCATGTGCCACCCTGCCTTGGAGCCAGCCAACTATGAACCTAAACCTCCACAAACTGTGAGCTACAATAAACCTTTCCTCCTTTAACTTTAGGTGTGAGGTACTTTGTGCCTGCGACGAGAAAAAGTAAGACGCACATACTGACCCACAGTCTGAGCTATAATTCATCTGATGATTGAGAAAAGTTCTTGTAGAAAACTTCAGATAGATGATATGTGTGTTTTTTGTTTTGTTTTGTTTTTGTTTTGAGACAGGGTCTCACTACTAGTGAGAACTTTACTGTGAGTTCAAAGACCCTGAACTCACTATGTAGCTCAGGCTGGCCTCTAACTCATGGCAGTCCTCTTGCCTCAGCTTTCCAAGTGCTGGGATTACAGGCGTGCACCACCACACCAGGCAAGGGCCTGGGTTTGATCCCCAGAACTGGAAGAAAAAAGAAAGAAAAGAACTGAGGCCTGAGTGTTGCTTTCTCACAGCTGTCCTTGCCTTGAAGGAGGCAGCGCCGTCTGCAGCCTGGCGCTGTGTACCCGCTGCTCTGTAACAGAACCAGCCTCCCAGAGAGCATCTGCTGCCCAGCGTGGAGGCGGTTGGCCTGTAGTTCCTCTGCTTCTCTCCTAGTCTGTGAGATGAGCTGAGGGACGAGGAGTCGGCACTGTCCTTTGTTCACAGCACGGCCTTCAGCTTTGCAGCGACCAGTGCTCTTCCCCCAGAGGGGAGCATAAGCTTGAAAGGACAGCTTGCAGGTCTTGGACAGAGAACAGAGACTGTAGCAGTGCGAGTTCCTGCTGGCCAGCTGGCTGCAGAGCCACGCTTCTCTGCTCTCACAACGAAGCCCGGGCCCTCATTTCCCCAGGGCCGGGCTGGGCTAGGCCAGCTTTGGTTAGTGTGGAAAGAAGGCATGGTCTTGGCCCACATGAGGGAGAGAAACTCTGGCAGGTGTCTTAGTATTGCCCACAGCAGGCACTTCTCCTTTCTGAGGTGCTCTTTCCACACCTAAGTGAAGCACCTACAAACCTAAACTCCCAGTGGCTGGAACCGTGAAGCAAAAGGACACGGTGGTGAGCGCCCCGCCCCTTGTGAGGGAGACAAGCTGGTCACACTACAGGCCCCGCTCTCCTCTGTCCTGCAGAAGGGGCAGGCAGCACTATGCAGCAAGCCAAGGTCAGTGGCTTCCCTTGGGGAAGGGTAACGGACAGTGTTGCGTAGGCCAGGCGTGGTGGTGCGTGACTGTAAGCCCAGCTACTGAGGAGGCTGAGGCAGGAGGAGTGCACGTTCAAGGGCAGCCTGGGCAACTTTGTGAGACCATGTCTCAAAATAACAAACAAAAAGGGCTAGGAATGTAGCTCAGTGGTAGAGCACTTGCATAGCTTATGTGAGGCCCTGGGTACATTCCCTAGTGCCAAGCAAAAACAAACAAAAAAGCAATCTGAATGCTACTCTGGCACTGCCCCTGTGGGCCCACTGCCTGCTCCAGGCAGTCCTGCCTGGATCCCGCATGCTGATTCTGCATGGGGGCTCTGCTCACGCCCACTGACAGGTGGATGGCGTCAGTGGGGGCAGGAAAGACTGTTCCTCTGCAGTATGGCATGAGGCTCCGGCGGAGGGCAAGAGGCTGCTCCACTTCTCCACGCCCTGGGCCCAGGTGTTCTCGGGACAGGAGGGGGCTTCGCAAGGGTCTCTTCCGAGCACTGCAGAATGCCCACCCTGGCACCCTCATCTCTGCTGAGGGTGCACTGCCACAGCAGCGGGAGGGGGGAACAGTGCCGCAGGGTCCCTCGGCCCAGTCCTGGCCCCTGCCTGCTGCGGGGGCCGGGTAGGCTCTGCCGCATGTTGCCAGTTTACCCATGAGCCAAGCCCCAGAGACCCCAGCAATGTGGTGTCCTTCCCCACAAGCTTGAGGAAGCAGGGAGGAAAGGCAGTGGCGGCGGTGCTCAGACCTTTATTACAGCGTAAAAAGTCCACTGTCGCCACAGTTTCCGCATGTACATGCTCCTTCGGGCAGCCCCGCCGGTCCCCCGCCTGCCTCCACAGTGCCCATCACCGCTCCAGACTGACAATGATTGCTAAAGGGGGCAGCAGAGGAGGGAGCCTCGGGCTGCTGGGGCGGGATGGCCGTGGAGCGAAGTGCGGAGTGGCTGGGCCGGGCGCTCCGCACCTGACCTGGGCGCTGCAGGGCCGGCACAGTGATGCTCCCAGTGCTGCCAGGCCGCAGGCAGAGGCCGCAGGCGACGCCTAAGTGCACTCTCAGGGTGGACCCTCAGGAACGGACCCCAGAGGAGGAAGGAGGCCCTGCAGTCTGAAGCGGGGTCCAGCAAGGGCTTTGAGAGTTGCCCTTTCCCCAGCTCCAAGTGACAGTGACAGCAACAGCAGCTCGGATTGGGCCTGCGGAGTCTGGGGCCCCGGATGGCCGAAGAGGACCAGGGACGGCCCGGTGGGAAGTGCTGGTCCTGCTCTCGGAGGGCCCTGCCTTAGTTGACCTCGGAGGTGGGCAGGGGGTCTGTGGGGCGGGGCGTGGCCAAGAGGGGCACAGGAGAGGTGGCCTCGATGAGCGCGGGGTTGAGGATGATGGGCAGAGTCATGGGTGGTACGCCCACCTGCAGCGGGGAGGCCAAGGGCTGCAGGATCAGTGGGGGCTGGGGCAGCGGGGGAGACCCCTCTGGGGCTGGGCTTGAGGGCGCTGGTGATCCCGGGGGACTGCTGCAGGTGGCTCGGGAGCCCTTGGGGTTCTCCAGGTCTGCGAGGAGAGGAAGGTGGCTGCAGTCAGGCCGTCTCGTCGGCAAGGGACAACTCACACTTCCGAGCCAGTACTGAACCTCTGTTCTTCCCCATCCCCTCCCAGGCTGAAATTTTGGGAGTCTCCCCTCAAAACTCAGCTCAAGGTTCAGCTGCCTTCAGTCTACCTCGCACTGGCGCCCTGGGCAGGGTAATTAGGTCCGGTCGTTACTAGAACCCCTGAGGGGCACATCTGCTCTAGGGCCCCTGCGGCCCTCCTCGGGCTGCTCACCCCTGCTCCTCAGTGATCCCAAGCCCGCTCCGGCCCTCCGCCCTCCTGCTTCCTGCCCACTCTCGAGCAGGCCAGCCCGGAGGGACCTACCGCAGGCTCCCAACTCGGAGGGTATCTCTGGGAGAGGTGGATGGCCGGGTGTCCAGGGGTCACCAGCAGCAGGAGTCAGGTGGGCCGAGGCTAGAGGTTTCGGGCCGTGTGGTTCCGTGGGCATGGGGTCTGGGGTGGGCAGAAAATCCAGAGGGCGACTCTCAGTGCTTTTTTCCCAGCAGGGCCCTGGCTGCCTACCAGTCTCTGTACGCACCTGGGGCACGGAGAATGAATTCAGCTTTGGGGATCCTTTGGTGAAGCTAGGCCAGGCCCCCTACCTTGGATGACAGTTTGCTTGAAAAGCTCATCGCGTAAGTGTGGCAGAAAGCAGTCAATGCGCTCCCAGGTGATCTCCCAGAGGGCAGAGGGGCCACCGCCTCGCGCATCTGCACTGTGGAAAATCTCCGCTGTGTCCATCACCAGGAGCATGTTCTTCAGCGATTCAGGGATGGCTTCCGACTGCAGGAGGCAGCAGGAATGAGAGGAGGAAAGAGGCACCAGGGGAGCAGGTGCCCAGGAGACAGCCAGTCTTCCTGGAAGGTGGCAGAGGCAGAGGGCAGTGGGCGCTCTCACCAGTAAATCGCTAGAGCCTGCGTGCATGTACTTGTCCATGAAGTCCAGGATGGTGAGCCAGAGGGCCGCAAAGGTGGACAGGGACAGCAGCGGAGACAGGTGCTGTAGGAAGACCTATGGCCCACCAGCCCCTTTCAGCCAGGGGCAGCACAAGAACTCTCTGAACCCCTCCTAGGGCTGAGGGGCAGGCTGATACACCTTGCACGGGGGTTCTGGATAAGAGACAGCCCTGAGTCCTGCTGAGTCCCCATAGCCAGGTGGCCCAAGCACATGGGCTGCATCTCTAGATCCTACTGGAAGCCCCGGCTTCCCAACTTGGGAAAGCCAGGTACGGTGAGAGTAGGTGGGGTAAGGTGGAGAGCTGTACCTTCGAGAGCAGCGTGGAAGCCCTCATCCGGGTCTCCTCCATCCCACCCACATCTGCTGGGCTGATGTTTTCTAAGAGCTTGGTCAGCAGAGGGAACAGCACCTGGTAGGTGAATACCCAATGTTGCCGGGCGTGGTGGCACAAGCCTGACACCCTAGCACTTGGGAGGCTGTCAGTTTGAGGCCAGCCTGGGCTACATAATGAGTTTAAGACTAGCCTGGACTACACAGTGAGACCCTGTCTGAAAAAAAAAACAGAAAACAAAACAAAAAACCAAAACCCCGTGTTACCTGAGAAGGGTCAGTTGGGCAGCTTTGCCCCAAGGAAGCTGGGGGTGGGTAGGGTAGGTACAGAACAGCCAAGAAAGTACACTGAGTACAGATACTAGAGCTCTTCAGCTGCCTTTTCCTAGGATTTAAACTTTACCTCAAGACCAGTGTGAAGTCCTACCTTGTTAAAACAGGACTCCCACTCCAGGGCATCTAGCTTTTGCAAGTCATGTACCAGAAGCGCTCGCTGGAGATAGGTTAATGCCTGCATTCGGACCTGGCGCCGGGCGTCACAGCACAGGCAGGCAATGCCTGAGAGCAAGAGGAGGGTCAAGCTCCTGCAGGCATCTGGGCCCGGGCTCCCCAAGCTCAGCACTACCTCTTCCCTCCCCTGCCCGCTCCCCGAGTTTACCCTGCAGTAAAGGGCACCAGCAGTGGGCCCAGAGAGTGCGCGAATCTGCTTCAATCTTCTGGCCACCTGTCTCCAGGGGGCGCTGCTCTTCTGCCCACGAGCTGTAGATAGAGGCTGCCCTTGTGTGCAAGGTGTGCATCAGGTCGAGTAGCTGGGATCACAGGAGAGGGCAGGACACGAGTGGGGTGAGGCCTGCTCGGCCCCTTCCCACCTTCACCCACTGTCTCCGACTGAGTCCTCAAGGGCCTCTCGCGCCATTCGCTCCATACTCCTCCCCTTTTTCCCCAATTAATGTTTTATTTTTATTATACACATCAATATTGTACAGAAAAGAATAAAGAATCCCCTCATGTTAAACTGTATTGAGATTCCCTTTGCCTCAACTTGATGATCTGGTTGCTCCCGACCTGGCTGTGTTTCTCAAAGTCAGGAATCACAGTAAGGGAGAGTGTAGGAGATGTGTGGACTAAGACTCAACAGCATGCAGTTGCTATGAGAAAGGAACTGTCAGTTCTATTTCACATTTCATTTTTTTTTTTTCCGGTACCGGGAATCGAACTCAGGACCTTGTGCTTGCTAGGCAGGCGCTGTGCGGCTGAGCTGCTGAGCTAAATCCCCAGCCCCACTATTTCACACTTCTGATGACACAGAAAACCTTATTTTATTAATCTCATTTTAAAAACGAAGCAAGCTCAGAGACTTGCATGAGCAATAGTGTCTGGCTAGATTAATATCTGTAAGTTTTCATTGTTTTTCTAAGGCCATTCTATTTAAGGCAACTGTTTCCCTATTTAGTTAGTGAAATAAATTCAGCTCAGTGGGGTGTAGCAGCACATGGCTATACAGTAATTCCAGCTAACTGAGGGGCTGAGACACTGCAAGTTCAATGCCAGCCTGAGCAACTTAGAAAGAGCCTGTCTTTAAAACACAAAGAGGCCTGGGCTGACCTTCACTGTTGTCACTGTGCCTACAGCTGCAAAGCCTTTGTCTAGCACGTGCAAGGCCTGGGGCTCAATCCTCAGTATTGAAAAAAAAAAATCAGCATAAAATCCATGTTTTTGTCACAAACAGGATTTTGTCACCGTGCAAATCTGGATTTTAAACAGACTCCTGCACTGGCGGCCTCATCCTTCAGCAGAACTACGTTAGCCTCATCCCCAGTAGCTTTTGCAGAACGACCTCCCCAGACAGCTCTGTGAATTTTCCCAATGCAAATACGGGCTCCCGCAGCACTTTTGCTTTCTAACAAGGACATCATAATGAGAACAACAGACTGGCAAGGTTTTCTGTGTCTTTCCCCCTGCTGTGTGCAGTCAACTGATCAACTGCCTCCTTCAAGTCGTCATGTCGGGACCTCTAGGATCACGCTTTCCATCCTCTTTTCCCAGACTTGGCAGACCAGCCTGCTGGTGCTAAGCATAAGAGGTCTTGCTAGGTAGTTCAGGCTAGCCTCGAGCTCACAGCAGTCCTCCTGCCTCAGCCTCCTGAGTGCTGAGATTATCGTCGTGCACCACCACGCCTGTCAAGATTGTCCATAGCTTCTGACTGCTGTGGTTTTTAGTAAAACCAATACAGAACAAATGAAGCACACACCATCAGTAATCTCACATAAACGTAACCTCCATCATTGTCCGCCATTTTTTGACCATGGAACACATTTTGTCACAGGTAAGATCCATGCCATGGAAGTTAGGGCAGTTTCTGTCCTGAACATCCTCAGTAATTAACTTGAACTTTTCAGATGCAAAGTCCTCTGCAAGGCTCAGTTCAAACACATACTCTCTGAGGCCATTAGATGCAATTTTGGTTCCCTGAGTTGTGGTGACTAGTGTTTTTCCAGTATTTCTTATATTGAACATAACTGGTGATTTCACTATATACTAACCCTTCTCAGAGCTGCTCAGTCAAAAGGCTTTCTTCTTTCTTTCTTTTTCTTTGCTTCTCTCCTTCCTTCCTTCCTTCCTTCCTTCCTTCCTTCCTTCCTTCCTTCCTTCCTTCCTTCCTTCCTTCCCTCCCTCTGTCCCTCCCTTCCTCCTTCCTTCTTTCCTTCCTTCCCTCCTTCCTTCCTTCCTATCTTCCTTCCTTCTTTCTTTTTTGGGACAGGGGCCTACTCACTATGTAGTGCAGGCTGGCCTTGAACTTGCAATTTTCCTCCCTCAGTTTCCCTAGTGCTGGGATAACAGGTGTGCATCACTATGCTTGGCTTTTAAAATCAGTATTATATGAGTTAAATAGACATAGAATAAATATAGAAGAATGGACAAGAAACTGGTGATGTGGATGCCTCTAGTAAAGGAAGTTAGTGGCTGGAGACAGGAACGGAATGGAAATTTGCTTTTATCAATTTACCCTTTTGTAACTTTTGAACTTTGTACTATGTACGCGGATTATCTACTCAAGAAATACATTTTAATTTAAACATACATTCTAGCAAGCAAAGGCTTTCAGGTGGCCACTGCTGGGAGGAGGTGCTCGAGGCTTGGGCAGAATACAGAGGCCTCCTCTTAGTCGTGACTTCCTCAGCCCCCACCCCGCTCAAAAAAAAAAAAAAAAAACCAGCAAAAAAGGGCCGGGGATACAGCTCAGTGGCACAAGTGCCTGCCTGGCAAGTGCAAGGTCCTGAGTTTGATTCCCAGTACCAAAAAAACACAAAAAACCCCCCAGAAAACCTGACTTCCCCAGCCCCACCAGGACCCAGCCACAGTACAGGGGAGGAAGGAAGTAAAGGCTGCCATACTTACGTCCTGACTGACCTGTAAAGACACCGTGTGGTAGCTGGCAGGCACGCCTTCGTCCTCGTCGTCGTCACTGTGCCCACCCCGAGCGGCGTGCTGGCTGGAGGTACGAGGCCGCCGGAGCACTGAGCCCTCCTTGGGCTTCTTCTTAAAGCGGTTCCCTTTGTTGTCGTATTTGTGACTCTTGCCACGTTTCTCCTGGGACTTGCACCCTGAGCAGAGCCAGACTAGGTCACATATGCACAGCCACACGCAAGACAAAGATGCCCCGCCTGCCTCCATTCCCCGCCTCCCTCCTGAAGGTCCACACGGCCTTCCCACTGCCCCTTCATGCGACAACCCACCGCCATTGAGACTGGCCTCCACGAAGATGCGCAGGGTTTTGACGCAGAGCTCGAAGTTGTCAGGGGTAATGTGGGCCGCATCACGCACAATGAAGGACAGCGATTCCACACACTTAAGCAGGGACTTGGTGTCGTGTGGCCCCAGGTCCAGCCCCACTGTGAGGCTATACTGATTGATGGGGGGCGAAGGGCCCGGCCGGCTGGGCCCTGGCCCTGGCCCTGGCTTGGAGTTATCAATGTCATCCTTCCCCACCTGTTAAGTACACAGGGAACAAGCTGGGGACTCAGGCGTGACCTCCCTTCTCCCCACATGCCCTCTAGAGGACCGGGAATCTTTCTCAGACTCATCTGCCTCTAGAAGAGCCAAACACCACCTCTTGTACCCTCACTCACCACTAACCAACCGCTGTTGACTACATCAGCATCAGTGGCTGATCGGTGTATCTTGCCAGGCCTGCCATGGTCAGTGTAGACCTCTGAGTCAGAAGTGTACCCTCGGTCCAGGCTCACATCAGTCTGATGGTAAGATGGGAGCTCACTGTCTGACTGGGCCCCTAAGCCAGACAAGGAGAAAGGGAGAGTCAGGGTGCAGATGGAATGTTGGGACGAAAGATTCAGGCTCAGAAGGAAGGTGCTGAGGTCTGGCCTCCTCTCTCTCTGGCCTGGCCTACTTTCAGCCATGTCACCAAAGGGCTGAGACCTGGACGGCTTTTCTCTTGGCCAAACAGGGCAGCAGGCTAATTTGGGCTCCTGATGGCATTTAGCAGCAGCTGTCAGAGAAAGGGGTGGTGGCGAAGCACAGTTTCTTAGAAAATGGTCCTCGGCTTCAGCTTAGCTTCACAGCCTTTTGCACTGCCTACTGGCCTTCATGTTTTATGTGTAGGTATTGGCCAGAAGGCACTGGAAACTCTAGAAGCAGGCAGCAGCAGAAGTCAGGCGTGTTTCATTTGCTGAATGCCATGAACAGTGTTCTGCTTTCCAGTCCCAAGCGCCGGGACCAGGCCCGTTTACGTGCCAGCAGCTCCCTGGGAAAGGGCTTACCAGCGTCGGGTGCGTCGGCCCTGGCTGCGGCCTGCAGCGTGGCTGGCGGCTTCACCCCAGAGCCAATGCACTCCAGCAGCGTGAAGAGGGCGGCCCAGTCATCACCCGAGTGGATATTGGCTGCGTTGGTCTTCAGGAGCTCGTGGAGCCCGTACGCAACCTGGTGGCTAACTCTGCAGAGCACGCTGGGCTTCATGAGCAGCAAGATGCGCAGGGAGAGCAGCACCTGGCGGGGGAGGCACACAGCTTCCTTTCTAGTCTCCTTCCCCATCAGCTTCTTTAGGTCAATATGAGGGCTAGGTCAACTTCATTTTTTCCCCCTACTGTAGATTTCAATTACTCCAGCACTATTTGTTGAAAAGGCTATCTTTCTCCATTGAATTATTTTTATATCTTGGTAAAAAAAAAAAAATCAGTGAACATATTTGTGTGGGTCTATTTCTAGGTTCTCTGCTCTGTCCCACTGACCTATGGGTCTGTCTCCCCACAAACACTACATAATCTTCACCACTGCAGCTACATAACAAGTCTTACTGTCAGTGATTCCCCTCATTGTGCTTGTCAAAGTGTTTGGCTGTTCCAGGGCTGGTGCCTTTCCATCTAAATTTAGCATTTGAGCAGGCTGTGGTAGCACATGCCTATTACCCCAAGACCTGGCAGGCTAAGGCAGGAGAACTGCTGCAAGTTCATGTTACATAGTGCAGTCAAGCCTGGTCGTCTTAAACTACATTGTAAGAACCTGCCTCAAAAAACCAAAAAAAATTTAGGACAAACTTTCTAGGTCTATAGGAAACCTTGCTGGGATTTTTCTGTTCTGTTTTGTTTTGCATTTTTTGTATGTATGTTTTTGAGACGGGGTCTCGCTATTCAGTTCAGGCTGGCCTTGAGCTTACTTTGTAGCCCAGGCTGGTCTCAAACGCACAATGATCCTCCTGCCTCAGCCTCCTGAGTGCTGGGACTACAGGTGTGCACTACCATGCCTGGCTTTTTTTTTTTTTTTTTAACTTTTTAATATTTTGGTGTTGAAGACTGAACCCAGGGCCTCCCACTTGCTGGACAAGTGTTCTGCCACTGAGCTAAATCCCCAACCCCTTGTTTTTTGACAGGGTTTTGCTCTGCAGTGCAGGCTGGCCTTGAACTCACTATATATAGTCCAGGCTTGGCTCAAATTTGTAGCAATTCTCCTGCCTCAGCCTCCTGAGTGCTGGGATTAGCCACAACTCCTGGCTCCTTGCTGGGATTTTTATAGGAGCTGCACTAACATAGAGATTGATTTGGGAAGAACTGACTTCTTTGCTATGTTGAGTCTTTTATCCACCAACATGGGATCTCTTTTCACTCACTCATTTATTTGAGACAGGGTCTTGCTACATAGGCTAGTCTGGCCAAAAAACTGCAGCCCAGCCTGGTCTTGAACTCATGATTTTCCTGCCTCAGCCTCCCAGGTGCTGGGATTACAAATGTGGACCACCACATGGCCTCTTCATTTATTTAGATCTTCTTGGATTCCTTTAATAAACATTTTGTAATTTTCAGCATATAAATCCTATACAAATCCTGTCTTGTTAGGGGTATATCTAAACATTTCACTTTATTGGAGGCACTGTAAGTGGGTATTTTATTTTTAATTTCAGTCCCCATGTTCATTTTTAGCATGAGGAAATATAATTAATTTTTCATGTACTGATCATGTTGAACTCATTTATTCTTTTTCTTTCTTTTTTTTATTCTTTTTGTTTTTTTGAGACAGTCTTGCTATATAGTCTAGGCTAGCCTTGAACTCACAGAGATCCCCCTGCCTCAGCCTCTGCAGTGCTGGCACTACGTGAGTGCTGGGATTACAGGATGCGCCACCATGTCCAGCTGTCTATGTTTATTGTATGTTTATTATTAGTTATTCTGTGTTTACTTAGTTGAGCCAAGGGACCGAAGGAGGGCTCTAAGCCTAAGAACTAAGAAATCAGGCGTTGAGCTGGGATGAGTAGAAAGGCAGACAGGGGCAGTCTAGTCCTGAAAGCAGACTTAAGAGGACCCTGCGGGGGTGCAAGGCACTAGCTTCCTGCCTGAGGCCATTCCAGGGCCACGTCCAACGTCAGCTGTTAGTCTGTGCTGGTTCTGTGGCTGCTGTGGGCTCACGTTAGGGATGTTAAATGTATGCCCTGCCTGAGGCCAGATTCATGACTGACACTGTGGCCGGAGTCCCTTGCATACGTGCCTGCTCTCCCAGATGTGCTCCACTTACCTGGCCGCTGATCTCTTCTCTCCGGAGCAGGCGAATGGCCAGGCGCATCAACCCTACCACCGCCCGCTCCACCAGGAAACAGAAATCTTGTGCTTGGACACAGAGGTGGTAGAGATGGTCTCGAACAGTCTGCCATACACAGCCCACACGGTCTCTGCACAAGAGGGATGAGCACTGTCTCAGGGGAGAGGCCACTGAGCAGAAGGCCCCTAGGCTTTTCATGACTCCTTTATACACCCTAAGCAGATGGTATAGTGGGCAAGCTTTCCCCTGACCACCTAGTTTCACGTGTTTCTTCCTGGAGCCCACTCAGCAAGATGCCTTCCATCCTTTGGAGGGTCTGCCTCAAAGTTGCCCACAGCGGCCTTCTCCTACCTGTTTTTTTTTTTTCTGGTACCGGGAGTCAAACTCACAACCTCACGCTTGCCAGGCAGGTGCTGTGCCGCTGAGCTAAATCCCCAGCCCCGCCTACCTATTTTCTAACACAATCCTTAGCAGCATCTCCAGACAGAAAGCAGCATCTTCCTCATCATACGTCTCTTCATCTGGTGTCACTGAGACCAGAGCCTGGGGCAGAGGAGCAGCAGGAAAGAAGGCATGAGGAAGCTGTCTGCTGGCTCTGCTCCAACAGACACTGAGGCACACACCACTGCCCACCACCCCTAAGACCCAGCCATCCTTCCATCTCGCTCTCCGCCCTGTACCTTCATGAGCTCCTGCAAGGATTCCAGTTGGAGGAACTTGCTTTCCGTGATCATCTTTTCTGGGTCACATTGCTAAAGTGGGTATAAGAGAGAAGGGCCCTGTGACAAGGGCTGCAGAGAAGCCAGGAAAACAGAGTCCCCCTGGCCATAAGCCCGCATGATTCTTTTTTCAGGTCACATGGCAGAATCTGTCCAGCAGGGAGGGAGGTGCCTAGGCTTTCGAGGTTACCTTGATACAGTCCAAGGCTGCTCTCTTGGCCTCTTGGTTCTCAGTGGATGGACCCCGCATGCTAGACTGCTCAGGACCACTCAGGGTCAGCCAGCTCACGAAGCTCAGTACTGTTGACTCTCCTCTGTAGGAAAAGGGCCCATTTCCTGGTGAGCTGTAGGTTCTGACCCTCTCTCCTCAAGGTCCTCAGCCTCTTGCCTGCCCTTACCGGTTTGATGGTGTCTCTTCTCGCTGGAGAGAAATCTTGCCATTGGGATCTACAAAATCTTCTACCTGGAGAAGTAGAATAATTTATTTCCATATGTCCTTTGCCTTTTTTGATCCTCATGTAAAGTTCTCTGGATTTTTCTCTGTGGCCCTCTGTCCCAGCACCACTGCAGCCCCTCCAAGTGGCAAGTGGCACGGCTTCTACCAGCCTTCCTTTCCAGCTACCCCCAAGATCTGTGGCACGACATCTGAGGTTTCTGGTAAGCTCTGGGAGGCACTGGGCTCTGTGCTATTCTTAATCAGATCTCCACACATACAGCGCAGAGTGCTGGTGTTCTTGTCTTGCTGACTAGTCTACCAAGAATTACCTCCACCATAGCCTTGGGCAGCAGTTGGGCTCGGAAAAGCTGCAGCATGGCCTCCATGATATTCTTCCAGCCCTCCCGCAGGATGTCGCCATGACGATGGGCCAGATGGAATACTGTTTTGGCTGCAATGTGAGCCTTAGGGTTGCTTCCAAATACAGTGGGCAGGTTCTCAATAGACTGGAAAAGAGGATTAGAAGAAGCTAAGTGCCTGGCTATTACAGTATGTGCAAAGAAGACTCTTAGGCCCCTGTCTCTGGTTCCCTGAGGGCACTTCTGGCTTTGCTTCAATCCCCCAGAATACTGGTAGGAAAGGCCAATCTGGCTAGGGTAACACTATTCTTACTCAAGTGTGGAAGACAAAAATGGCCTAAACTGTGGCGTATCAAGGGAGTGAGTGCAGACAAAGGTAAACCCGTGGCCATGAGAGAGGTCTTCCTGGAAATCCAGGTACAGTTCCTGCCGGACTTACCTCACTGCTGAGAGCTGTGAATTTGCACAGTGAGATGATGAGATTGTCAAACACATCGCTCAGGCCATAGTGGGCGGAGATCATGGCACACTTCCTGTAATGTCACCCCCAGCACAGAAACAAAGTCACTGGAAGGCCAGGCAGCCCTTCTGCGTCCCTGAGGAGGCTTGCATGGGGCTCCTTCCCAGTCAGTCCCAGAAAGAGACCTTGCACTTCAGTCTGTTTAAGATCGAGCTTCCCAAACTGCAGCCTCCCTCCACAAACTCAGTAGGAACCCCCTCTAAGGAAAGTAAGCACAGGAGTTGAAGAGGCATGGAAGCAATCATGTTAGCTCGGAGAGGTGGGAGAGGTCAAGACGAAAGCCAGAGTGGGCTACCTGAAGCCGGAGATGGCTTTCTGGACAATCGGCTCCTCAAGGCTTTTGTCAAAGACGTAAGAGAGAGCAGCAATTGTGGGGCCCCAGGTCATAGTGAAGAGGTCCAGATCGTAGCTGCCAGGAGGCACGCGCAGGAAGATGCCCTCAGGGGTGGCACCTCGATGAAGCAGCACATTCCAGACGTAGTTCTCCCGAACCAAGCCCGTCTGCTCCTCAGGCATCACAATTTCCTCATTCCTGTCAGGAGGCGAGGGAAGGAACAGGTGTACTGCTGTGCACGTGACTGCTCCTGAACAGGACAGGGCCTTTGCCCAGGCAGGCATCTCCCATCAGTAGGAGGCCACTGAAACTGCAACTCAGGGGTCTGTTTCCTACTCACTGGTATCTCAGGGAAAAAAGAAAGGGAAACCTCAAAACATCGGAAGTCTCGTCTCTAGGCTTTCAGTTTGTCATAAGAGCTCATGTTCTTTTGGGGGTGTCAGCGTATAAACAGACTCTATTCTTTCTGATTTACGGGAAACAGTGTCTAACCTCTGACTCTGACCTTTGAACGAGTTAAGAGTGCTCGTGCCCCAGTGGCCATCTTGATTCTTTTCTAGCCAGAGAATGCATCTTGTAAGCTAGACAGGAAAACCTAGGTGCTTTAGGTTCAGGAAATGGGGGCACAATATCCCAGTCAAGAGAAGGCGTTTGGGCGGGGGATGTAGCTCAATGGTAGCACATAAGAGGCCCTGGGTTCAATCTCCAGCATATTTAAAAAATAAGTAAGTAAAAAATAAGAGAGACAGTTTGGATCCTGGCGTAGAGTACTAGAGACCATGCTGTTGAGGCTTCTCTAGGGAAGAAATGAGTGGGCAGAAACTGGGCACCCCGCTAAGCCCTGGGCATCCGAGGCACCAGAGCTGATGCGCTCCTCCCGTGCAGAGCTAGTGCACTGCTTTCCATATACTCACTTGATGGCATGGTACATGTCCTCCAGGATGTCCTGCTCGAAGTCTTTGCCTCCGTTCACACCTTTCAGGTTCTTACGAAACTCCTACAGATAGGCCAGTAAGTTTTTTCTCTCTTGTGTCAATGCTGACGTCCCACCCATAGAACTCTGGGTCTGCTCTGTGGTACCTGGGACTTGGGAACCAGCAGGTGAGAGAACTCACCTCCCCACCCTAGTTCCTCTTCTGTACTGGCCAGCCGTCCCTGGTTCTTTTGGACAGGGCCCTGTCCACACGCCGATTAGAAATCCTACCTCCAAAGCTGTGCTGGGTCTTCTCTGCCTTGCCTGGGAGCCACACTTACCTCTAGGGTCATGGGCACATTCTGTTTGCGAACGTTGTGGTTGTGCTGGTCGGTGTTAAGCATGATGACGGCATAGGCCAGGGCAAAGCAGGCATCGCTATTGGCAAATGGGGAGCCATTACAATTCTGAAAAAGCAAAGATCCCGCCGTTGTCAGTGACTTTCACTGGCCAATTAAACCCTCTCTACCAACCCACTGGTCAGGTCAGCAGTGGTACAGAGAGAGGCAGCACCTGGGAAGTGGTCCACCTCTCGCTAATTCTGTCACAGAAGCTGCTGCTCTCTCCACAGAAAGCTTACCAATGCTGCTCTTAGCCTTCTTAGGAGACAGCAGCTGGTTTGTTTTTCTTAAGTTGGGGCTACAGAAACCCTCAAGCTGACTGACCTGGGGCCTTGGGCTCAGCCTCTGCCATTCCCACTCACCCTCCAGTGCTCCGTAAACGCCTCCAGTAACCTCTGGATGACCGGTGCCTCCCCAGGCAAACGGAAGGCTTCCAGGTAGAGGCGGAGAGCTTCATCAAGCCGCAGACCCTGAAAGCTGAAGGTGCTAGAGGAAAAGAGGCAGAATGAAGAGGCTGGAGCGTGGAGCAAGACAGGTTGGGCTCTCTGTCAGCCACAGTCCCCCTAACTTTCTCTTACCTAGAGCAGAGAAGGCTGAGGGAGCTGGCATAGGGGCAGTATTCCTGGTATCCTTAATACAATACCTACCCTCAGCACTTATCACAGGGCTCTTTCAGATCTGACAGTTAAAGAGGAAGGGAAGAGGCAGAACGTGTGACCTGGTCATCAGCAGGAACTGAGTGAGACTACTTAGAGGGAGGGAGGCGCAGTCCCCCCAGCTGATGACCAACTATGTTCCACACTTCTTTCTTCCTTTTGCAGAGCTGGGGATCAAATCCACGACCTTGTACATACTAGGCAATAGCTCTGCCACTGAGCTACACCCCCAGCCCTCACATTTGTTGTAGTTTCCTCACCTCACAAAACTTTCCAACAGGTCAATGTTTTTGCGGTCACTCACAAACTCTCCAATCATTTTCTTATCCAGTCGAGGGTTCTCTCGGAGCCACTGGGCTACCTCTGTGTTGTCCATGGGGATGGTGAGGAGACCTTTCTCCTGCAGAAACTGGATCCCTTTCTTTGGTTTCTGATTGAACTGCTCTGTGCCAGTGATTAATAGCTGGAGGAGAGAGACTAGAGGTGTCAGAAGCTACTCTGCCCCTAAATCAGACAAAAACAGGCTGTATTCCCCCATAGCCCACAGCGGGCCACCTAATGGGCTCCTGGGACATGGTTGTCTTTTCTTTTTTCGAGACAGGATCCTGCTACATAGTTCAGGATGGCCTTGAACTCACTATGTAGTCCCAGGCTGACCTTGAACTCAAGGTGATCCTCTGGCCTCAGCCTCCTAAGTGCTGGGATTACAGGCTGGGATGACCCCACAACCAAACCTGGGTCACACTGGCCCTGTCTCTCTCCTATCTCTCTGTGTCATCAGAAGTGACTGAGGAGCTCCTTGCCAGTCTTTTTCTGAGGGCACAAGATGCACAGGCAGCTCCTTCTCTCTAAATTAGGAATGAGGGAAAAAATAGAAGGGACTAGAGGATTCATTTCAGTTTTATATTCATCCCTGGCATCTGTTGAAAGTCAGCACCCTGTTTTTAGCTTGGCTTGGATTTTCCTTTATTCTTTGGTTGTACAGCTCTTAAGGCCCGGGGATTGTTTGAAGGGCAAGATGAACTAACTGCAATAATCATTCTGTTCCTTGTGTGTTCTGTCACAGCTTTGTAATGAAGGGCACACATAAGCCAAAGCCATTTAGGCTGGCAATAAGAGGAGCAAAGGGTTAAATGGAAAGTTTGTGTATGTGTGTGTTAAGAAAACCAAAAGCACAAGCAGGTATTTGAACTTTACTAAAGCACCAGAATAAATGTCTGTTTTGTTTTTTATTGTTTTTTGTTTTTTTCCGGTACCGGGAATCGAACTCACAACCTCGCGCTTGCCAGGCAGGCGCTGTGCCGCTGAGCTAAATCCCCAGCCCCCAGAATAAATGTTAATTCCCTTTTATTGTCAGTCATCACACCAGAGCTGCAGATGACCAATAACTTTGGTGACTCACAGGACACCCCTAGGGCTCTGTCACCACCATACCTAATGTGGCTGTCAGCTGGAATAGCATTTGCCTCGCGGCAAATAACAGTCCTGCTTATCTACACAGCTTAGGAGTAAGGGAAGGTCTTCAAGCAGACCTGGGAAGTTGCTGAAAGCCCAGCGAGCCCAAAGCCTAGCCTCAGAAAGCTGTATACGAGCTGCTAGCGTCTCCCCTTCTCCTCATCCTCGGGGACAGAAACCCTACAAAGGACACTCAGACAGAGGAGCAGAGGCTGAACTCCGGGAAATAGGTGGGTGCATGTACCTTTTTTTTGCTTTTAATTTCAATTAGTTCCCGTGGATCTGGCAGGAGACAGGAAAATCGAGGTGGCTTCTGGGTAAACTTTTTGTCAGCTAAGAATGGGAAGAAGAGAGGGAAGACCCCATAAGACCTCTTTTACCAGGATCATATCTTTTCTTTTTTTGAGACAGGGTCTTGCTATGTAGTTCAGGCCGGACTTGTACTCAATATGGAGCCCAAGCTGGCTCCAAACTCATGGCAATGCTCCTACCTCAGCTTCTCAAATGCAGGGATTACAGGCGTGCGCCATCACATCTGGCACACCAGGGTAATGTCTTTGGGAAGGTCACAGATACACTCCCCAGTGAAAGGAGGAACCTCAGAAGTTTTCTTGTGCTCACCAGTCTCTCTTTCTTTTTTCTCTCACCAGTCTCTTACGCCCTGCTAGCCCTACCTTTCCAGCCTCTGAGTGTTTTACTCCTTCTGAGTTAACGAGGCTCACCAGGCATTGCCCTAGGCTACTCTGCTCTCCTCCTCGCCCCACCACACCTTCACTTGCTTGGGGCCATGGATACCCGCTACCCACCCACAGAGTCAGCAGCTTCCTCCAGGTCACTGCATCCCGGCTTCCCATGTTCTACTGGCAGCCGCCCTCCACCTGGCAGATGAAGGCCTGGGACATCTGATGCCATGCCTCTGGCTTTCCCGTCACTGTCTGCTCTCTCATCTGGGAAGAGAAAAAGACACATGAAGATTTATAGGTAGGAGGCAAGCAGAGCTGCAGGATGGGTTGAGTTCCAAGCCCAAAAGATCTATATGTTCCCATACACGGCACCAGCCCTAACAGGACAAGTAAGTAGTCCCTGTCTCAGGTGAGGCAAACATTGGATTCTGTAATTTAACAAAGAGGTTACTCAGTCACTTTCCCTGATTGTCTGCAGCTTCATTCTCAAGGAGAACACAGAAAAGATTACTAGAGTGCAGGCTAATATTGTGGGTAGGGAATAGCATGTCCTGGTGTTCTTAGGGGCATAAGTCCTACATCCTTTATTCTCTTCTCTTGCCATGAAGAAATAATAATTTTACAAAAACATCAAAGTAGCAGGGAGAAGAAAGGGAGTAGTTGGTGGGTCTTACTAACTTCCTTGCTTGGCTTGTGGTTCAAACATCAAACTCTGGAAGCACAGAATTGAGAGCACCCAGGGGAAGTGACAGAAGGACAGGAGGAAGCATTTGATGAACAGAGAAGGGACAAACACAGAGGTCGAGGGTCATCAAGAAAGAAATGCAGTTTGATCTCAGAGAGAGGGAGAGAGGGGGAAGAAGGAAAGGTAAAAGAGAGAAAGGAGAGGGAGGGGGAAGAAGAAAGAAGGAGAAGGGGAGAGAGGGAGCAGGAAGGAGCAGGAGAGACCGAGAGAGGGGAGGAGCAGGAGGCGGTGGCAGAAGGAAAAAGAAATGCCTCTTACCACCGCTAGCTTCTCGAGCACCATCCACTGCCTCATAGCTGGGCCTGGCTGTCTCTTTCTTCTCTTGCTGGGTGACGCTGTTGAGGACTCTGGCTTGGCAGTGGGCCTCACTGCTGTCAATCACTGTCAATAGGGCATCAAGAGAGAGTAGGTGTGTCGTGTAGAGCTGCCCAGACACAGGGAAGGCATTCTGGAAAGTAAACAGATCCATCAGACTTGAGGTTAGAATACTTTATACTTTGTTCTTCCCAAAATCTCAAAACCTATGACTTTTCCACTGTCTTTAGAGAATGCCTTTCTTCCCATTTCCCCTCCTCATACATAGCGTAATCGCTACCACCAAGATTTCCTCAATGCAGCCTTTTCACTAGAGGCCAGCAGTAGTGCTCAGCACCTTGGACAGCAGCTTGGTGAGCTCCTCAAAGAGGTTGGAACAGTAGTAGTCACAATCATAGTTGATGTAGAGCTCAGTGACAAAGCTGGGTATGCGCCAGAGCTGTACAATGGCCTCCAGTGCCATCTCCTTCATCTCATAAGGCATCTTGGGGTTTTCCACAGTGATGATCTCCATGAGTTTTTTGATGTACATCTGGCAATAACCCAGAGAATTTTATTTGGGTGGGGAAAGGATTTAGGAAAAGAAAATTAGACAGAAAGAACATTAAACAGGAAGCAGAAGGCCAGTCAGTAGGTGTTAACAGACCCTCAAGGTATTTCACTCCTAAATACATCCCCTTCTTTGGTTTCCATGCTGGAGGATAGGCTTGATTCTTTTTTGCCTTATGCCTAATCCCAAAGATGGTGCCTACTGCCTTGTTTGTATTTTCTATGTAACCCTGACCTTACCCTATTTAGAGTTCCTTTTTGCAGTTTAGTGGCAGTGCTGGCTTGATTCGAAAGAGGGCAAGAAGAGCTGTTTTCCATTGTGAGTTTACCTGCCAATCCTCATACTGCGGCAAAACACGCAGTCCGTGGCACCAGGGGTTCTCCCATTTTATTTACTTACTTGTTTTTTATTTTAAAAAGTAAAAGAAGGGTAACATAGTAATAGGGGGGGCTTACCAAATTACAGACAAAGTGGTAGGAAACTATCAATGCTTGTTGTTTTACATATTGTTATCTATAAGACAGTTTCTCAGGAAAACAAATAGACAAATAATAGTGAGTTACAGACAAAAGTGGTAGGAAATTATCAATAGTTGTTGTACTATACTTTGGTATCTTCAAAGGGGCTTCTAAAGAAAATAAATAGAGCTATACATGAGTGACCAATTGAATAAGCATTGACTATTCTCAATGGTGGGTTCTCCCATTTTATAGTCAGCCAGTTTTCTCTAGCATCCTTGAACTTTTCCACTACAGAAGCCGGCCAACGAGCTGAACTATGTAGACTAAAGTCACCCTCCTGTAGGAAGCCACTCCTATTCCCACCTGTGTAGCACCACAGAGCTGGCCCTACTGAAAATGCCATATAACTCCATTTTTTTTTTTTTCCTGAGACAGGGTCTTGCTATGTAGTTCAGGCCGGCCTTGAACTCACTATGTAGCCTAGGCTGGTCTCAAACTTTCGATCCTTCTGCCTCAGCCTCCCGAGTGCTGGGATTACATGTGTGTGCCATCTTGCCTGGCTTGGTTTTTGTTTTTATTCCAAGGTCAAGAAACTTACCTCTAATTGGAATTTGAGGTGCTCCCTCATACTCTCAAATAGTAGGAAGCAAACTCTCAGGGAAGCAGCATAAAGGTTCAGCCGCTCTACGCTGAGTAGCTGGAGATCAGAGAGAGGCCATGAGAGGTCAAAGTATGCCATGAGGTTCTTGAAGCTGACTTTTGGCTCAAGCAGTACAGAAGCAGAACAAACTGGGTGAAGTTGCCACTGAGGTCCTGTGGAATTCTGTGTCTAGCCATCTCTACACTTCTTTCAACTGGCAGTCTTTGCAGAGCTACTGGGACCCTTTTACTATGACTGGAAGGAGGGCTACCAGGGAGGAAGGTGCTTTCCTGGAACCTATACTCTGCACAAGCAGCCAAACCTTGTGTTCCCCCGGCCTTTGGGACCCTAAAATCAGCCAGGCGCTCTGAGCAATCTGGTCTTACCTGGAGTAAGTGGCGGCACATCTCATCCTTGATGAGGCCCAAGAGGGTCTGGCACTGGGCTATGGGGGCGGACTCAAGGGCCACTGTCAACAAATGCAGGCCCATGTGGATCATGACCTCGGAGTTGTGGCGGTCGTGTGGATTAGTGAGGGAGATGAGGAAGCGGAAGAGCTCACGGATGCAGGGAAGACCATAGGGAACCAAAGCTGTGCCTGAGAAGGTGAAGAGCACAGTGCAACTGCTGAGAACCAACCAGCCTGCAGGCTCAGCCTAGCCTGCCTTGCATTACACAAGGCAATTTCAAATAAGTGACTGACTTCAAAAAAAAGGGTTTTCCCTACCCTTCGGGAGGTGAGAAAATGAGCTTTTCTTATTGAGGGAATCAGAATTAAGCATCTCTCCTCTCTGTCAAAAGTCTTAAGCTTCCTATTCTCCCTCATTTCCTATTGCCCACCAAACTGCCTCTATATAAACTAGGGAAGGGCTCCACCTGTGCCATAGTTCTATGGCTGGATTCCATTTGCTGCCTAGAAAATGGCCTAGAACCAGGACTGGCAGGCAGCACTCTTTTTTTTTTTGGGTATCAGGAAGCGAACTCAGGGCCTTGCACTTGCCAGGTAGGCGCTTGTGCTGCTGAGCTATATCCCCGGCCCACAGCACTCATTTTGGCCCAAGCTGATCTAGGTTCAGGCAGCTTAGAGGGCAATGAATCGGCAGAGCCCACCAGAGGGTACTTACCTTCCTTCTGCGAAGACTGTGTAAACCGCACGCCCCGTGGATTGACATAATCCATGTCATGAACAGAGGCCAAGTCAGAGCGGTCAGCAGGGGATGTACACTCCTCTAGTACTTCAGGAATGGATTCCACCGATGCTGTATGGGCCTTTTCCACTGGGGCTGCTTCTTGCTATGACCAATATCAAGCAGATATAGGAAGAGGAATGAGGTAAGAGCAATTTAGAACTTACAAAGCTCTCTTGAAGTACTTGTCCTTTGAGCTACCTTTGGTGGACTACAGAGGTACCCAGCTTGGTGGTCTATGAATCACTGCAAGATAGCTCAGGGCACGAGTGCAGTGAAGGACTTGAGAAAACACCTCCTTTTGTCACTGCCCTACAGTGACTAGAACCCTAGGTATGCTTTAGAAGCTCTTACAGGCTTAGGGTCTGGATCATGATCTTCCAGAAAAAGTCATGGTCGGCTTCCCCCTTTTGCCAGGAACTACCTGCATGCATAATTTGACATATCCTGTGAGCTTCCCCTCATACTGAGTCAGGCTATATAGGTCTTCTGGACAGCACAACTAATTCAGAGAACAGGGACTAATTTTCTACCCCTATCTTCATTTGAGCCAAGGTCTGGATACAAGATCCAAAGGGTTAAGCCAATTCCCACAGAAGAAGATTAGTGAGGGGCCTTTAGGAATCCAAGCCATACCTGGGGGTCAGGCTGCTCAGGAACTCCCAGCTCACTGCCGCCAGGCTCTGCAGCAGGATGATATCCTGGAGAGCCAGGTTGCTCCAAGTCAGTCAGGTCTTCCTTGGATGTGGTCTGGGAGGAGAATTCCAGGCCACTGTCTGTGGAGGGACTGACTACCGCTGAGGCAGTTTCTGAACTTCCAGACGAGATGGGTGTGGGTGCGTCGATGAAGAGCATGCCACCTGCTGAGAGAAGTAAGTGGAGCTTGAAGGAGAGACTGTGGGCAAAACACGCAGTCCATGGCACCAGGGGTTGTTTCCCAGGCCGCATGCTCTTCTCTGCACACACTTTTCTCGAGTAATCAGAGATCCTCTCAAAGGAGAATACTCTTAAATTCCTTGTTGGGTTGCCGAATGGTCACAGTCTGATTTGACTGGAGTTTCCCTTTTGGCTCTAAGCAAAGAGCTAAAGCCCCTCAGTTGGTCTTCCACTTCCAAATCCCTGGGAAAGGGGTGTTTCTTCAGAGGAAGCAGCCCACAACACTCACCTGTGAGGTTAGTGGATAAGGAGGTGGGCAGCTCTGAGGTTGGTGTGACTTTGGTCATATGACGTGGAGGCCGGGGAGATCTCTTCTGTTTCTTCCACTTGGACGAATCACTCATGCCTCCAGCTCTCATTTTCAGCTGGAAATATCACACCTCATTAGCACTCTACTCAAACTAAGACTCCATCCCTAGAAATCTCTCTTTAGTCCTTCTGGTTCCTAGGAAACTGCCTCAGACCATCCGATTACATTTCTCCTCCTCAAACTTGGCTACTACACTTGCCACTTTTCAGAGTGGCATGGAAGCCTCTGTGTGGAAGGTGACATTCTGTTTCTGGGATGGTTCTCACTCTGCTTCCCTGGGTTCTGGGTGTTCCATTAAGCAGGAAATCCTGAGTCTTGTACATGATGCACAAGCCTCTTGCAGGAAGGGTAAGGGTAGGGGATCTTCTGCCCAGAGCCTCAGATCTACAGGTCCACTGACTCCTAGGCTTTCCTGCTCAACTACTCTGCAGCACAGCCTGTTACTTCTAGCTCTTACCCAACCCTGACAGCACACTCCAGTGGTGGTGGACCTATAGCACGCGTGCTGCAGCAGGCTGTTTGTATCACTGAAAGCTCTAAAAGGTGGCCATCACTAGCCTACTCTTTTACAACACTCAGCTTTATTGCAGCTGTCAGCACTGGGTCTAGACAATATATCCCTTTCTTTCTGGAATTTCTGCATTAAACTGTGAAAGACTAATTCCTTGGTATTAGGAAAGGAGTGGCACCCCAGTTTATTTGTGGAGTTAAGAATGGAGGGTCATGTCATGCTGTTGCTCTGCTCTCTGCCGCTCCCAATTTTGGTATTCCAGTGAGACCTCCTGTCCCTCTCACTGTTGGTCTTTCTGGATGGATTTTATTTGTTTGTTTGTTTTTGAGACAGGTTTTTGTTATGTATTCAAGCCAGCCTCGAATGCACTATGTAGCCCAGGGTGGCCTTGAACTTGCACCAATCCTCCTGCCTCAGCCTCCTGAGGGCTGGGATTGTAAGTATGCGTCACTACACCTGACTTCTAGGTGGAATTTAAAAAAAAAATTGTTCATTTCCTTTTGATATTTGAGGACAGGCTCCCTTCCTCAAGATCCCCCCAAACTCAAAGCCTGGGCAAACTTTAATCCCTTACTTGGAAACCATATAATTCTTCCTTCCCTGTCCACAACTCCTTCCAATAAAGGAGAGAGGCCCCAAAGTGGAGTCTTTCCAGCAGCTCTTAAGAAACACAGTGGCAGCCTCACACTGGGTTCACGTTTCTTGGACCTGTACTCAGATGCCTAGGATTTTCAAGTACGTTGAGCACAGTGGCTAAACAGGAATCAGAAGTATGCTTTCCCCAGGAGCCACCGGAGTTCAGCTGGACTGAGTTCACGGTAGAAAACATAATGGGAGAAGAGTGAGCCAAACATACAAAAGGGCAAGAAGCCCAAGAGATCAGTAAATGAAAACAAGGACTTCAGTTTTTTTCTGGCAATCGTCAGAAGGTACTAAGGCAAGGTACTAAGAACTGGATCCACTTTTATGGGATAGCCTTTCCCTCCAGGAGAACATCTTTCTCTCTGCTCCAGCTCTACTTTCACAGAGAATGACAGTCACTTACTGACAGTCCTCCTATATTAGGATGGGTCTTTCCTAGTTCCTTCTCTATCTTCTGCAAAGCCAGCTCCAACCTGGTCATTTCAATCAATGTTCTTGGCCTTCTGGCTGGAGTAGGGACCAAGAAGCTGCCAGTTCTCACAAATGCTTCAGCTTTTATAAAGTGTAGTATGTTCCCTGTCCTAAGGTCTGAAGATGCAGGGAAGGCATGTGTTCATGGAACCCTATACCACCTTATCTGTACAACTTTGTATTCCAAAGGTCAGCACAAGCTTTACAAAAAAAGAGCAGATCCCCAGTTCATTATCATGGCAACATGCTGAGTAGCCAGTGAAGAGAGCTGCAACTTGAGATATCTAAGCACACAAAGGAAACTTGAGACAGTGCATTCAGACAAGACACAAGCCTTTGGACGTTGAGCTAGGGACACAGACTCAGACACACACACTCTCCAATGACCTCAATGTCCATAAAATCAACTCTCGTATGAACACCTTTACGATAGATATCCTAGACATCTACTCCCTTCTCTCTCTCCTTCCTAAGGCATGGACACGGGGTCATCTTTAGCTTCCATTCCTCTCCTAATCTCCCCTGCATCTGGACTTTTAAAGGACAAAGGTATCTTTGCAATCTCAAAGTATTCCCAGGACCCTGGACTGTCTTGGGACCTTGTTCTTTTCTGTCAGTCTAGAGTTATAAACCAGAATGATCTCTTTAATGGTACCAAGAAATAAAAGGCCCCACTAGATGGACTGCCTCTTCCCTCCAAACGCAGTTCAGATTTCCAGGTTGACATGAGAGAGGGAAAGGGTAGAAGAGGAAAAGGGTGTCTGTAGCTTCCCCAGAAAGGGTAGATCGTAGGCTTCCCCAGGAGACAACAGCAGGACCTAGGCTCTCACTATGTTTTACGTAGGGTTTCCTCTTGCCTCAGACAACCAGAGGCCCCTAGAGAATTCCAACACTGTGAAGCTACAAGCACATGCAACTTTTCCAAAGCAAAGCTGCTGTTACCGGGCCAGGAAGGGGGTAAGTTGTGCTCTACATAATGGAAATAAATGGGACCTAGATGTTAAGTATACAAAGTTAACACTTAAAGAAACAAATAAAGACAAAAGGAGAAGGAGAGGGAGAGAGACCTTGAGGTTCTTAAAGAGAAGTACCCTCTCTAACTGGTTCAGGGCTTTGGTCTGCTCCCCACTACTTAGTTCCAGTTTGTTGAGGAGACATGGAGAAATCTGTGAAAGACAGGCAAATGCATGATTTAAACAGAATGAAGTAAACTCAGACACATGCCAACAGGGCACAGGGCAGGAAGGGGGATGAACAGTAGGGGACAGGGAAGGTCAGGTGTGTGCCCTAAAGAGCCAAGGGTCATCTCCATGGGAAGAACCTGTTAGGGCTGCAAGCAGAATCTTCAGAAAGCCAGGGTTCAGTTTAAGATAGAAAGGGGCCATGCTTCTGACCATCATTCTTTTCCTAGTCGTTTGAAAACACTTTGACCTGCAGTCTAGGTTGATTTATGTCTGTTTTTGAGACAGAGTCTCACTATGCAGTTCAGGCTGGCCTTGAACTCACTATGCAGCTAAGCTGGCCTTGAACTCATGGTGATCTCCTGCCTCAGCTGCCTAGGGATTTATGTCTTTAGTAGAAAGTAGAACAAGTGTAAGCCCAGCCTACTCCAGTATTAGGATAGGATCTGGGGCATAGACTCTCTAGGATTCCTATCTGCTGATAAGGCTGTGCCCTGAGGGGATGGCTAGACTTTCATCTTTATCAACAAACATTTTAAATCCAGTCCAATGGGCCTCACCTAGTTTATATGAAGGACTGGCTCACCAGTTTATGTGGCGGGTTAATAAAAAAGGCAGAAAGGAAAGTTGGGGACAGAGAGGTAGCCGGGAAAGAATAACTTTCTTCCTAAAGGAGTGAGAGCTGGATTCTGGGCAGAACTGTCTAGGCCAGTGGTGGAGAACACATGGCCCGTGTGCTGCAGCGGGCTGTTTGTAGCATTAGAAGCTCTGAAAGGTTCTCCGTCACTGGTCTAGGCACAGGCACATCTTCACTATGCAAGGGAACCCCACAGCACTGCTGGGAGAGTAAAGCTTAGGTAAGAGACCAGAGGTCCTCACATCCTACCTTCTTCATGCTGGTCCCCATATAGTTCTTGGGTTCTTCTTTAAATTGAGGTAACCTATAAAATAGAGAATCCCATGAACTGTCATTGGAATAATGACAACTGTCCTCCTTTACTCCAGCCACAGCCAAAGGTGCTCTAGACCAGAATATCCATGTCTCTTACGAAAAGCTAGTTATTCTCAAGAAGCAGATAATTTCGTGTGTGTGTGTGTGTGTGTGTGTGTGTGTGTGTGTGTGTGCGTGCACATGCATATGTATGGTACTTGGGATTGAACCCAAGGAGCACTGAGATATATTCTCAGTCCTTTTATTTTCAGAAAGGGTCTCACTAGGTTGTGAGCCTCCTGTCTCAGCCTCCATTGTAGCTGGGATTACAGGTGTGTGCCACCATGCCTGACCTAATTTCTCCCTTTTCAGAGCTTCATCAAAGAGCCACAGGACTGAGGCAAGTGTGGCACAGACCGAAAAGGTAGTCACTAAGGCAAGGTTACTAAGTGCCCATGGGGTATGGAGGCTCTTTTCATCCTTGCAAGTACTGCTGAAAGCCAAAAGATGAGAGGGCAGTGTATCAAAACCCCAGGAGACTGAGCATAGGGCAAAAAGTAAAAAGCAGGCTGGAGTTTTAAAACAAGTAAATTTGAGCCTAAGGAGTAAGTCCTTCTCTGCAGCAGGTTCAAGAGCCATCTAGCCTGCTAACAATAGGGATCCTTATCTGTACATCTGCAAAAGAGAAATCCCAGGGAAAGTGTTAAAGTGATCACTTCAGTTCTTCTCCAGCTGAGTTTATTGAAAGGAGGTGCAGGAAATAGCAGGTGGGTCAGAAACCTGCGGAAAGTAACCATTTTGGTTTGCTGGGGACTGAGGGGCTTGTCCGGATGCAGACCTTGAAGTGCTACAGTCCAGACAGTCCTGGGTAAACCAAGGTGAGGGACAGCAGATCAGCTCTCACAACTGTTGTTCACCCTAGCCTTGGCCTTCTCACACAGAAATCAGTTGAGCTCTGGTACCTCAGCAGCCTGTTCTAGGAACCCCTAAGTTTGACTTTCTGTCTGGGTTCTCTTTCCCAGCTTCTACCTGTATAGAAACAGACACAAGTTTGGGAAGCAGAACGAGATCTGTCAGCCTAGATAAAATAACTCTCTGCCTCCTCCCGAGGCTAAGCCAGCTCTTTCCTCCTCCCATGCTCAGTAACCCTGGGCCCACAGAACTACCCCTATCCATAATCCCAGTGGCCTCTGATGTGGCTGTGGGGTTGGCCAGGTCCCTGAAGTGGCTATGTGGAAGCAGGCAGACTCAAGAGGCCTGGGCAGCCGGGCTGAAGCAAACAGCAGCAGGTTTACCTTGTGAAGAGCAGCTGCACCATGTCTACGAGAGTGTGCTCTGCGGATTTTCTCAATAACTCTGCACAGGCAAAAACAAATAACACAGGTGTCATTACTTGCTGTGCTATTATCAGGAGGCTTCTCAGAGCAGACTCCCCTCCAAACCTTGTTTACCAAGGATTATGCCAAACTTATTAAAACCAGCTCCAGCTCAGCCTGGCAGCCATAACCTTACTGGCCCACTAGGTGACACTACTGAGTCAGAAAAAAGGGGTGCTATAGATGTGTGCTCTGAGGCTGCAGGCTGGTCAATCCCACAAACCCCAAGAGAGAGGGATTTGTGCTGGGACTGAGTCACTCTGGACTCCATCCCCACCCTGCCCTGGCATGATGGGTTGAGGTCTCTATTCCAGCACCACAACAGTCTAATAGAGAGTCTTCTAGATCCCAAAGGCTCTGCAAGGTAGGCAGTGGGAACTTCTGAGTCTTCCATCTCTCAGGCTCAGAGATTCAGCCTATGTAGATACACAGATACTGGCCCCAGGAATGGTAAAAGAGCCAGTAGTCAAGCACCTACCACTAAGCCTCATTTCAAAGCAGATTCGGAAGCAAGACTGCATGATCTCACACACAGATTCATTGGTAAGGTGAGCGCCCACGGGGGTTAGCAACAGAGTCCGGAGAACCTGAGCAGGAAGAAAGAGGAGATACTGTGGTTAACAAGGTGGCGAGAAGCAGACAGGTTACCTGCGGAGAGGGAAGCTGCCTAGCGCTCCCTCAGGCTCCTAGGAGAAGTCTCCTAGGAAAGTACTCACGGTGGGGTTTTATTTGGGGGTGTGTGTGTGTATGTGTGTGGTGGTGTGGCATTGACACAGGGTTTCACTTTGTAGTTCAGGCTGGCCTTGAACTCACATGGAGCCCTGGCTGGCCTCAAACTCGCAGTGATCCTCTTGCCTCAGTCTCCCGAGTGCTGGGATTATAGATAGGCGCCACTATGCCCACCAGGGTTTATTTTTTAAATTAAAAATATTTTTTCAGTACTGGGGATTGACTCCAGAGCCTCTTGCATGGTAGGCAAGCACTCCACCACTGAGTTATATCCCCAAGCTAGAGACACATTGTAAAAAAGAAGTTAGCAAGGATGCTGACCTCACTTCTACCTGATAAGGGGTCTCCCAGAAGCCTAACCTGGGAACTGTTTCTTCACTCTGCATGACCCTTAGTTCAGAACTCATTCCAGCCCTAGCATATGAGCCCAGTAAATGGTACAGATATAGTCAGTGAGAGGTAAAAGAGTATTAAGGGCTTCCGGTATTTGATATCAATTCATTTAGCTTTTAATTATTTTCCTTAGGAAAAGCTTTTACTCTGGGTGTCTGAGATGCTTGTTTGGAAACAAAGTCAGTCCCTAAGCTCCAGTGGAGTCAAAACACAGCTCCCTGCTGCCAGCAGACTCGCATAAGTAGATAGGTAACAGAGCCTGTGGCACCAGCCCTTGGCCATTAGCCTAATTGCTCTTTCCCTCTCACTTACCTGAAGGATTTTCATGAGGACAACTTCATCGCTAGCAGGATCTGTGCCCACAAAACGGGCATGGGTGACAGCATCCGCCATGTTCTCCATGCCCTCTGCTGTGCCCTCATGAGTGGGATCTGCTCCAGGAAAAAAGGACAGATTAAATGATGTGCAAAACAGAGAAACGGAAGACAGCCTGACTACGGATTACTTTGAGAGTCTTTGACTTTCTCCTTTACAATTTCCTAACTTTTTGTTTGTTTTTTGTTTTTTTGAGACAGGGTCTCAGTAACATAGGGTTCAGGCTGGCCTTGAACTCACTATGTAGCTCAGCCACATAGTGTGGTTTTTTTGACACAGGGTTGATCCTCCTGCCTCCGCCTCCTGAGTGCTAGGATTATAGGCATGTGCCACCATGCCTGGCAACCCATACCCATTTTTCAAGACAGGATCTCATTATGTATTTTAGGCTGTTTTTGAACTCTTGGCAATTCTCTTGCCTTAGCCTCCAGAATGCTGGGATTACAGGCCTGTACCAGCATGCCCACATTCTCTTTCATCTTTTATTGATTGGGAAGAGGTTGAGACAGGGTCTTACTACGTATACTTCAGGCTGTCTTGAACTCACTATGTAATCCAGGCTGGCCTTGACCTCCTAATCATCCTCCTGCCTCAGCCTCCCAAGTGTTGGGATTACAGGTGTGCACCACCATGCCTGGCTCTTTCATATTTTATTTTATTTTATTTAATTAATTAATTTATTTATTTATTTTCCCCCACTATCGGGAATCGAACTCATGACCTTGCACTTGCCGGGCAGGCACTGTGCCGCTAAACTAAATCCCCAGCCCCTTATTTTTTATTTATTTATTTTTTTGTCTTTTTGAGACAGGGTCTCACTATGCAGTTCAGGCTGGCCTTGAGCTCACTTTGTAGCCCAGGCTGGTCTCGAACTCAGTGATCCTCCTGCTTCAGCCTCCCGAATGCTGGGATTACAGGCGTGCCATGCCCCGCTCTCCGGTCACAATTTTGAGATGCAATTCCCATGAGGCCAATGGATGGTCACTGCCACCTGTACTCCTATCTGGACGCCACATTACGACAGATCGGATGCCTCCGATTTCACGCTGACAGTGAGCAGGAGTCTTGCTGCCAGCTTAGTTAATAAGGTATTAGGACAGAGGAAGAGACAGCAGGACTGGAGGCTGGCGAGTTGGGGAGAAGAAAGGGAGGGTTTCACCTGTGAATGAGTGAGGAGAAACTAGAGGTCAGACAGCAAGCACGAGGCTGGAAGTAAGCACAGGTGCTGCCAAGGCGGGGGCTCTGCTCCCACCGACACGCTGAACAGCCGCGTGGAGGAGGACTCTGCCAAGGGTCACAAGTGTCTGCGTAACGCCTGGATTGCTCCCTGCAGCCCCGCTCTGCCCTAATGACCATTTTCCCCCACTGTTCAGTCTTGAAAGGAGCATCTGTAGGGACAAGGCACATGACAAAGCTCAGCAAGTGAGACAGAAAGTTGCCCTGAAGGGCATGATGTAATGCTGGAGCACTTGCTACTTTGAAGTAGTAGGCGTCAGAAGACATCTTTGCCATTTTCCCGCTCTTGTTTCCTAACATGAATGGAGTTCCTAAGCTAAAGCTCAGGGGATGACTGAGAAACCTGAGCATTCCTCTTGCAACAATGAGCCACAAGACTTTCACTAATTGTAAATGGTTCTTGTCTTCTGTCTCATCTATCTTTTTCTGGAGTCTCTGACACCTCAACAAATACTTTTAATCTAGGTGTTATGGCTGATTTCTGTAACCCCAGCACTCTGGGAGGCCAAAGCCGGAGGGCTGCAAATTAAAGGCTGGCCCGGGGTGACTCAGGGAGAATCTGAATTTCAAAATAAAAGAAGGGCTGGGGATGTAGCTCAGCAGAAAGGCCCTGAATATTCAATCCCCAGTGACAGACAGACAGACAGCAGACAGACATATACATACACATATACACACCAAAACACAAAACTACAAATCCTCTTTTATCTTACTTAGACCATCCCTTTCCGGGAACCAGGAGTGGCTACATTAGAGATCACAGCGGGAAAGCCAGTTTCCTGCTCCGTAGTTTAATAGGGTAACCCAGCTCTGACTTCTACCACCCTAACTCTTCATGTTTGTCCCAAGCAGCACAGAAAATCCTATACCCTCGGGTCCTTGTCCAAACCTTCCCGTACAGCCCTGACAATCCCATATCCAGGGTCCACACAGGAAAACCACAGCCTTCTCAGAGTTATGTGGCATTGCAGCGCTCACTGGATGGTTTGCTCCCATCTCACAACACTCCCAGTGCTCTGCTTCTTTCCCTTTTTCAGTAATCTCTTGTTAAGGTGGTTTAAGATCTACTGATCTCTTTATATCCTTAGCCCTTGAGCTTAAATAAGTAGCAGAGTTCATTTTCTAAAAAAGTAGGTAACAGTGATGTCTTTAGAGGCACAGGCAGAGTCTGCCAGTGAGTTGGGCAATCAGCGGCACAAATCCTGGTCTGGAAGTTGGGGGGGGCCAAACTGAAGGCCAGTCCTTGAAGTAGGACCTAGGATAATCCCAGATACCTTGGGCCACAGGACTGAGTGGTGAGGGGCAGTTTCTTCCAGGAGGGCAGCCTAAACAAAAGATTGTTTGGTTTGTACTCAGTGGGCCTGGTCTTTCCAAGACCACTTACTCAATGTCTTCCCTGTCAGGCCACTCTAGAGCCAGCTGCAGGGAAATTTGCCAACTTCACCTCCTTCCTTCTCCTTTTCTTATGCCCACTACAATCACCACCTCCAGCATTCTCCTTTCCCACCACAGGAAACCTCAGCGACCAGCTGGCCTGACATCTCCAGCGACTGGCCTGTATGCCAAGGGCAGGAAGGGGAGAGAACACCACTAAGAGATCAGAGAGAAAGGTAGGGAAGGGCAGCTGCTGGGGGCTGTGAAAAGGCACAAACTGTAGGTGGTGCTCAGGGCAAGGCTGAAAAGTGTCTAGGCCTGATTTTGTTCAGGGAAATATGAAACTGGAATTGGGGTGCCTGTAGAGACTGATGCACATATTCAGAACATGGTAGGCAGTCAGGACTCCTGCTTATGTTCCTGAATGCTTTAGCTAAGCAAATGTAACTTTCTAGAGAAGACAGAGGGTGTTCTTACTCTGAAGGGAAGGCCACTGCTTTTCTGGCTAGCTACAGCCTGACCCTCATTTTTCCTTGTCTCCCTACTTAGAAACAAAGACAGCTGCCTATTTTTTATGTTCCTCATCCTTGCACATGGGTTGGTAATAGAAGAAAAGGAATTTAGGATTCTGAGTGACAAGACCAACTTAAAAGAAGAATCCAAAAAAAAAAAAAAAAAGACACCACAAACAAATTCAGAAATCAGCTATAGACTGGGTGAAACATAACCTATACTGGGAACAAAGATTTGCAATACCTTTATACACACTGGGCTAATAGCTCTACTATACAAAAATACTACAAATTAAGAAAAGTGACAGTAAAAGGAGAGGAAATTAAAACTTTCAAACTTAAGAAAATAAAAATAACAAAGTAATAGTGTTTAGCAGGGTGTGGTGGTGCACGCCTGTAATCCCAGCACTTGGGAGGCTGAGGCAGGATCATCATTGTGAGTTCGAGACCAATCTGGGCTACAAAGTGAATTCAAAGCCAGGCTGAACTGCATAGTGAGAGACCCTGTCTCAAAAACAAAACAAAAGTGTTTATCTACCAAAATAGTACATGTGCACATACACACCCTGATAATATTTAGTGCTGACGACAGTGTGGGGAAATGAAAATTCTCAAATATTGCTGGTGAAAGTGTAAATGATGCAATCTCTTGGGAAAGCAACCTAGTAGTACCTATAAAAATGTGATATGCATATGCCCTTTACACCAGAAATTTTAAACTCAGAAATGTTTCATATAAAAGTAAAATTAGTAAATAAAGATATATGAATAAGCATATTTATTTCAATGTAATGTATAATGGTTCCAAAAAGGAAGCAATCTAAATATTAAGTAGTAAGGGAATAATGAAATGAATTGTGTTTTAACTATACTATGGGAATTACACTGTTACTAAAAAGAAAAAAAATACTGGGCTCAGGGGAGGAAGAAAAGGGGACCACCTACTGCTTAATGAATGTAGTTTCTTTCTGGGGTGATGAAATGGGAAATAGATGACAGAGATGTTTTGTTTTGTTTTTCAGACAGGGTCTCACTGTGTAGTCCAGGCTGGCCGTGAGCTCACTATGTAGTCCAGGTTGGCCTCAAACTCACAGCAATCCTCCTGTGGCAGCCTCCTGGGTGCTGGGGTTACAGGCATGCGCCATGACACCCGACCTGTTTTTGTTTCTTGAGACAGGGTTTTATCCTGTAACTCAGACTAGCCTTGAACTCAAGCCGGTGGAGATGTTTGTACAACACTACGACACTGTAATTAATGCCACTGAATTATACAAGTAAAATGATTAAAAGGGCAAATATTAACATTCTATATTTTACAATAAAAATGAATAAATCAGATGGGTAATTACATCAAATACATCTACCTTAACACTATTAAGTGAAAAAAAACACATAGCATATAACCTTTTTTCTTTTTCTTTTTTTGTTTGTTTGTTTGTTTTTTCAGGTACTGGGAATCGAACTCATGATCTCGCGCTCACCAGGCAAGCACTGTACCACTGAGCTAAATCCCCAGCCCCCACTTTTTCTTTTTAAAATGGAGTAGTAATTCATATTTTCTTTCTCTCTCTCTTTTTTTTTTTTTTTTTTTTTTTAGTAAATCATGTTTTCACATGCAGGAAAAGAGTCAAACCAAGCTAGCAATACTGTTTTTATCTTTACTTTTTCTTTCCTTTTTTCGTTTTTTGTTTTTGTTTTTCTTCCGGTACTAGAAATTGAACTCACGACCTTGCGCTTGCCAGGCAGGTGCTTTGCTGATGAGCTAAATCCCCAGCCCCATACTTTTTCTTTTCTTTTTGAGACAGGGTCTTGCTATGCACTTCAGGTTGGCCTTGAACTCACTTTGTAGCCCAGGCTGGCCTTGAATTTTACATCTTTTTTTTTTTTTTTCCCCCTCCGGTACCGGGAACCGAACTCACGACCTTGTGCTTGCCAGGCAGGCGCTTTGCCGCTGAGCTAAATCCCCAGCCCAAAGAGTTATGTTTTTGTTTTGTTTTGTTTTGTTTTTTTTCTGGTGCCGGGAACCAAACTCAAAACCTTGCGCTTGCCAGGTAGGCGCTGTACCGCTGAGCTAAGTCCCCAGCCCCGAATTTTACATCTTTATTGTGTGTTTTCATAATAAGTCTGCATTATATTTGAAGGTAAAAGTTTTCAAATTAAGCAAACCAAGTCTCCAAGAGCACTATGCCCTAACTCTCTCCAAAGCATAGTTAGAGAAACCAGGGCAAACCTCTCTCCCAGTCAGTTAGCATGACAGGTGACCAGTAACAAGCCTACTTCTCTTCTACAAGGAAAAAGGGAGCTGGGAATGATTTCCCAGTTTCACCAACTCACTGCTAAAGGCCAAGCAGCCATCCTACGAAGCCTAAGCCTTACCTATGAGCGCATAGGACAGGAACTTATTGACAGAGGTGAGCGCCAGTCCCGTGATAGGGCCAGTGGTATCTTCAGAACGAATCACTTCCAGAAATGGTCGAAGGAATACATTGGGCTCAATCTCTGACAGCTCTGCAAAGAAAAACAAAAACAAAAAAACCAGAAATGAAAAGAAACTATCTAGTAAAAAGTTAAATCTTGAAAAAAGCCCTCAATGGGTTACTCTGAATCCCTCTGATTACTTTGAATCAAGTCCCAGGCACTATATCATTTTATCTATTAGATTTTCAGTATGTAGCTCTAAAAGATTAAGAATTTTTTTTTTCTCAGTACTGGGAATCGAACTCACAACCTCACGCTTGCCAGGAAGGCACTTGTGCCGCTGAGCTATATGCCCAGCCCAAGATTAAGAATTTTATACAAGCACAATATTTTAAAGAGTTAACGGTAAAACTGTTAAGATGTTAATTGTGTTATATACATATTTTGTCACAAGTTTTAAAATTGTTCTTTTGTATCATCAAATATTGAGAGTCAGTTTTCCATGTCCATTTCACTACCCTCCCAAAATACACAGGTAAACATCTTGGGTACAGCCAACATGGCTAAAGAAACCCAGGTTGGGCACCTGTCTTTACGTCTTTTGCTCTTATAGTCAAAGTCACTTCAATTACAGAGAGTGCAGCACAACCCACGAGGGTAGAGAACCTTAATAGTAGTCCCTGTCCAAAAACAGCCAAAATGAACAAAAGGATGACCAGTTTGTTAGTCATACAGGCAGTCTGTAATCTTACAAGCTCTTAACCACTCTCAGCTTTCTTTTGGCCTGGATTTCAGCCTGGAGTAACCAGAGCACTAACTGTCCTCTCTGGATGAAAAAATAAGGCTCAGGTAAGACATATGAGCGGCCTCAAACCATACAACTATATGGTTCCAAAACCTTAAAACAATTGCTTCTGCTGTACCTAACAGCGAGCACCTAGTCCACAATTGACAAGATTTCAGTTCAAGCCGAAGAAACCATCCATTGGACTTGCTCCCTACCCTGCTCAGCCCATAGTTTAATTTGTTTTTCTAGACCCTGCTGTGCTTGCATCTCTCAGAGCCAGTTCCTTAAAAGGCTTCCTAAGTAGGCCAGAAACATTTAGGGATGTGATTTAGGCTGTCCCAAGTTTAGGAACAAAAGGAAGCAGTTTCCCCAGCACTTTCATTTTCATGCAAATATACGGAGCTTCTTACTCAATTCCTCCCAACCTTCTCTGTAGGTAAACATTCCCTGGGCCCGGCTGTTCCTCAGATTAATGCTTTAATTAATTGGCAGATTGGGTAGCATTTTTCAAGCTTCTCTATAACGGTCCATGATCATATCAGCTGTGTAAAACCTGCTTTTCACCCGCCACTCTGTCCACCTAGAGATGCATAATTTGTAGGAAAAAAAAGAGAAAAACCTGTGTGTGTGTGTGTGTGTGTGTGTGTGTGGTTGCTGGCAGTGATACTGTTAGTGCAGGGTTGACATGTAAGGAATATATTTGGGAAAAATGAAATGTATAACACATTTTAAAAAACACATTAAAAAATTAAAAGCACACTAAAAATGTAAAGTCTAGTCTTGCTGGTTTAGAAACATAAATATATTTTGTACAACATGGTCTGTCATTTAAAAAATCGTCATATTTGTGTATTGGAGACATGAAAGTCCAGATGAAAAAAAATCTTTGAGAGTAAGGAGAGGGAACAGAGATTTTCTGTTTTCCTTCAGTTGCTACAATTCTACTTGCTTCCTGTCTTTCTGCATGTGACAGATCAGGGCAAATTACAGCTGGAGTCCACACTGTCAACCTCATTTTTGTTGTCAATTTGGTAAAACTGACTCTTTTTTATGACTGACTCATAAAGTTCTACGCATTTTAACACACGTGTAGGTTTGTGGAACCACCACCAACAGGCTACAGAACAGTGTTGTCACCTGGAGAACTCCCTCTGCCCTCCCTTTGTGATCATAGCCACCAACACCACCACCACCACCCGCCCGCCAGGCCCGCTTTCCTTCACCGTGGTTGTATCAAGAAGCTCACGTGAAAGCGATAAGACAGTGTGTAACCTTTGGAGACTGGCTTCTTTCACTCCACTGATGCCTTTGAGAGCCGTCCAACTGTTGCACTCACCAGTAGTTTTGTTTCCTTTTACTGTCGACTAGTATTGCATGGCGTGGACGTACCACCGTTTCCTTATTCATTCACTGCTTGAGGGACACTGGGTTCTCCAGTTGGAGGCAATCGTGGGTAGAAGTGCTGTGAACATTGGACTCCGGTTTCTGTGTGAACACAGGTTTTCATTTCTCTGGAGGTAGTACTGAGGAGTGGGACTTCTGGGCCAAAGGGTGTGTGTTTCCCTTTACTGCCAAGCTGTTTCCTGGAGGAGCTGCTGTACCGCTGTGCACTCCCCCTGCATCCTCTGCAGTCCATTGCATTTTCAGTATTTTTAATGGGAGCCCATCGAGTAGGTGGAGAGCGGTATCCCCACTGGTTTACATTTGCCTTTCCCTAATGGCTACTGATGTTGAGCCACTTTTCTTGTGCTTACCTGCGAGCCACAGACCTTTTTGGCAAGTGACGGGTCTGTTCAGGTCTTTGTCCATTTGCAATTAAATTGTTTATTTTCTTACTGTTGAGTTTAGAGACTTCTTTATTCTGTATTCAGCTCCTTTACCATTGAAATAGTTATTTGCAGATATTTTGCCCCAGTCTGAAGCTGGTGTATTCATTCTCTTAAGAGTATTTTCCATAGACTAGACATTTTAACTTCTTTTTTTGGTACCGGGAATCGAACTCGGGACCTTGCGCTTGCCAGGCAGGCACTGTGCCACTGAGCTATATCCCCAGTGCTGACATTTTAACTTTTGATGGAGTCTAATTTATCAATATTTATTTTACGGATTATGTTTTGGTATAATGTCTACATTTGCTCTGCCTGATAATCCCAGGCCACAAAGACTTCTCCCCTGTATTTTTCTCTTTCCTCTAAAAGGTACAGACAGTACCACGACCACCGTGTACAAATGAACATCTGGGTGTGAGACTAAAACACCACATCATTTATAAACGCTCCAAATGAAATAAAATGCTATAAAGTTCGGATACAAAGTCGAACAGAACACATAGAGCACCTGTCTTCACAAAGCTAAAACAGAGGACTTATGTTTTTCAACCTATGATCCATTTATTGTTGTTACAGTGCTGGAGATTTTACCCAGAGCCACCAAGAAAGGAATCTTCAGTGTCACCCTTACTTGTCACTGACCGAGAAAGAGAGGGAGGGAGGCAGAGGGAAACTGTAAGTCTAGGTAAAAATGGGGGTTGGCTCTCTAGGTTCAACCAGTGATTGCCAGGAGCATGAGAGAAACTCACACTCGAGAAACTCCTGTAGCTGCAGCTTCTGCTCCTAGCAGGGAACCAGTAAGAACAGTTTGAATTTAAAGAGTACCACAAACCGGATTTTCAATTCAGAATCCTGGTGAGATGTTCAGATGGACCTCTAAAACAGTGCTTCTCAAGCTATTTGCAGTATAGGGCCAGGTTGGTTTTTTTTTTCCTTTTTTTTTTTTCTTTCTGTTGATCCATTCAGGTCTATAGTTTTATAAACTACAATAAAATGAATTACTAGAAAATGAAATTAAGGACACTGGTACAATGCATGAAATAAAATGTGCAGTAAGTATAACTAAGATATTATTCTAGTTCTTTTGCTCAGAGTTCTAGTCCAGTGGTCTTTATGCTGGTAACAATTTATTTTTAAGCTTTAAATAAATATTTAAAAAAGTTAAAGAGTAGGCCTTCTACCTTAGACCTACAATAGTCCTAAACTGGAAAAGAAATATAAGCTAAAGATAAATACCAAGACAACTGGTGGTTATTATTTATGGTATAATTTGAGATAGCTCTTTTAATTTTTATGTATTTCAAGGTATACACAGTATCAGAGAAAGGAACATGTTTTCCTGTTTCCTGCCTGGATCAGTGGTCCTGAGACTCCTGATAATCCACTGACTCAATCATATTTTTGGTGTGAGGGCTACTTCCAGAGCCTCCAGAATTCTCCAAGAGTTGTCTGTCTGTCTGTCTGTCTGTCTCTGTCTTTCCTCACCTCCCCAGCACTGGGGATTGTACCTAGGGATGCTCTGCCACTGATCTACATGCCCAGGTTCCCCCTAAATTCCCCAGACTGGCTTTGAACTCCCAATCCTCCTACCTCAGCCTCCAGAGTACTGGAATTACAGGGGTATGCCATCACTGCCCTCTTCACTGAAATACTCATCCTCCTTTAGTATAAATCAGATAAAGATAATAACAGCACCTACCACCTACTACCTTGTGCCATGCCCCTACTAATTGTTATTTTGAGGATAAAAATGATATTTAAAAATGATAAGTAGATGTACCCTACCAGTTAAGATCATAAAACTAGCTATGGTAGGAACGGGAATCAAATCCAGGTTCATCTAGCCATTAATTTTACTGCTTCCTATGAGGCTAGGACACAAAGGGAAGTTTCTGTGTCCTAGTTCCTGGCTTGGCCTGTGTGTGGACTGGACTCAATGGTCTCAATTTAGAAGAGTGAGAAGAGCTGCCAGAGTCCTTCAGAAGAAAAGTGCCATGCTGCTGCTTCTAGTAAGGAGGCTAAGCAATTTCACAACCAAGGAGACACCTGACACCCCAGCCAAGCGGCCAAAATTCCCACCCCTGGAGGCCACCAAACTGAAGGCACAAACAGTGCAGTAAACAAAGAGTGCAGATGAGGTACAGAGGAACTCTGAAGGTGACTAGCCTGTTCTGGGATGGCAGGGCGGCAGCAGGGATAAGGAGGGGAAATCCAACCCCATGGGAGAAACAACCCTTAGGATCCTGCTAAGATCAAACCTAGGTCCAACATCTGTTCAGTCAGTGCCAAATTACAATAATGATAAGAATTATTAAACTATTTCTAGAGAAGCTCTAGGCCCCCTCAACCCAAAGCAAAGTGAACCTTTGGAAGTTTGACTTCTTGGTGTGTTCTGCTCATACTTTGCTCAACTCCCGATATTATAACATAAAACAGAAGTTCCAAACTGGCCCAATGTCAGTCTGCACATCTGC